GGAGAGAGGTGGGGGAGGGGGAGGAGGAGGCCGGAGGAGGAGGAGTTTGGTGTATGGGAGAGAGCAAAATCGATTTTTTTGGAAGAAAATGCATTGGAACTTGGGGTAGGTGAGCTGGAGGGGTCTGGACATAATTTTTTAAAAAAACAGGGGCTGCAGCACATTAGTGAAAGTTAGAGGGGCTGGAGCACAATGGAACTTGGAATTTGGGGCCTTGAAGCAATTTTTTCTTATAAAAATATGTTGTTTTCTTTTTCTTTTGTTTGGTTGGATATCACTTTATAGAAAATAGCTTACTAACAATGCACATGGAAAATCACATGGGAATGGTACTTATGTACTTAATTATTTTTAATATATGTGTCAGGTTTCTGGGTGATTTTCGTTCATTTTGAGCGAAAATTGATTTCTATAAAATGGAGTATTTTCTGTACTTTCTAGAAAACTTTTTTATAAATTTTTCTTAAATCGAACACGGTTTATAAAAATTTTTAGAAAAGTTTTATTTACAAAACTGTCACTATCAGCCATTTTCTATAAAGTTTTATATAAAACCACTCAACCAAACAACCCCTAACAACCTGTTCTATATTAGACGATTATAATTTGTTTTTGGCATAACTAGAAATGAGTACTATTTATAGATGTATCACGAATGCTAATTTGAGAATAAATTATAAGTATTTATTAAATAATTAAGAGTTGTGATAAAGTAGAGAGAATTCAATTTTAACTTTGTGTGGGTCTATTGTTATATCCTAAAAATTACCAAGTCTAATAAGGTCTTGAGGGTTGGTCACGTGTTATGATTAACTAACTGAGTCCTATAAATTTGAAAGCCTGCTCAGGGCGTGAGCATCGCTAATCTTTCTAGCAGCCCAAGTCCAAGACAAAAGGCATTTTTAAGTCCGGATCTGCTAGAAGAATTTAATCTTGAGGTGAAAGGTGTCTTCTACTTTGACTCTCGCTAAGAAATATCTCGAATAAGGAGACGGCCTATCAGCTTTAACAGTCATATTCCACTGCCCAGTCATCATTGCCTTTAATTCATGGATAGAGTTATGACACTTCGGGCCGAAGTTATAATACTCCTAGAATGACGCCAACACTTCTGTCATTCTGTCACTATCACATTAAACGTGAATATGGCTCATTTAGCCGATTGTTGACACATGTTAGGTGTAGTCTGATCAATCAGCTGACTGCACCGACCCAGTCAAATTACCAACGCGCTACTACCAACTCTCTGTAAATAAATGGTCACCTCCACTTCATGAAGGTATGCACAAATTGCTGTATAGCCATGAAACTAGTTCTGCATCTTTCAAACTTGCTTAATTTATCACTGATTTAAATGTCGGAGGGCACGCCGAAGAACCGATTTTGGCTCTCTAACGAGTGTCACATGCGCACTGAATCTGCTTCCTTCTGATTGATCATCCATTAAGAAATACTAAGGAACCCTAAACTTCTCTAAATATCCACTAATCCGCCCAATCAACTCTTTGACATAAACATACCATTTTAAGCCTGACTCTAGCTAAGTTTATGGAGCCTTAAATTCAAGTTTAAAACTAAATTACGCCAGCAGATATGGTGCTATATATTTGTTTATTTCAATTGCAAAAAGTAATGAATGTTGAAATTTTGCTTGAGTACTACGTACAATGCCTTTGCCTCCTTTCTCGCAACAATTTCACCTTTTCATCTTCGTCACGCAATCACATGTCCGGATCGAGTAATGTGAGGGTTGAGTTTATTTATCATTATTTCATCCGTAAGAAAAATAAGCCGCTTTTGTTGGACTACAAACCCGCGCTGATCGATTACACATGCATATGTA